TCTATTCGGCTTCGGGGTACCTTAGTGCAACATCTGGAGTTCAAGCACTTGCCTCCGCTACAAAATTAATATGTAATCCAGAATGTACGTAATATAGCCTTTTTTAGGTCAAATGAGTGAATCAAAAAAGCACTTGCCGAAATAGGTCCTTATATTTCTTGAAACTTAAAAGCAGCCGATAACCATCAACAGCATCTTTCAGTGACATGATTTTGACTTTCGACTGTCATATTTCCTGATATCGGCCTTGGTGGAAATGATTTATAGCCCTCTTTCTTACTGAACAAGACTATAATGGTCCCCCGAGACAAGAGAAGATATGAAATTAGTTTTCATATCTTCTACAAGGCAGACAAATGACCATGATAAGTGTTAATATTGGTTAGAGACGTACACAGACGTCAAAACCAATCATTCGATCATCAACAATTCATATATAATCTTTGGTAGAATCTTGATATAATATGTTGTAAAGATAGCAATAGGTCAAGTTTTGATTTAAGCGGTCCTCTTACCATAGTGATCACCAGTTGCGAATGGTTGCTAATAAGAATAGAGGTTATAACTCTCATGCAACTGAGTTGTGAATTGTGTGCAGAACTCATGGTCACTTTCATTCTGCCAACATACACAACTGGTAATCGCTAGGAAACATTCGAAATTGAATAAATCGTCTTAATGTCGGTCAGACGTACCACCTGTAATAAATGTAGAATAATACATAGACGAAGTAACGAAGTGGAAGACATGTCAATATATCTGGACAATGACAGTATATATGTGTCGACCTATTGACCAAGTCAGGCCTGTAAGTGTCTGGTCGTTTGTCCGACCGAAAAATGCTTTTATTAAATTGCTTTATTGGATGGAGAAACTAATATCCTATGTCAAATTGATTCAGATTTAAGGTCTTCACGTTTTGGTACAATCCATAGGATAGATAGATAGTTATAATAGGAACACGTTTAAGGGTTCGGTCTTACTGTAATTCCAAACGCCAAACGTAATGTCAAATGCCAATGAGGAAGCGGTCAAGCTTACAAACACCTCACGTAATAGTCCTCCAAAAGAGAATTTTCCAGTGTTTGTGTTTTCCAAATTAATTCACTGCTTCATCTATCGTCTGAAACGTTTCTATCTTTAAGTTGTTGTTTTTGTTTTAAATGAAGATGTACTTTGCTTTGCCATCTCGTCAATCGCTGCTAACCTTTTCATATGACTCTTCCGAAGAAAGATTTCAGACCTCGCCTCAACAATTTACCATTTAAATGAAATTGCTGTCAGCTTATATGAACCCTGACACTGTTATATCGATCATCGGCTGTTGTTCCAGATCCGTCGAAGCCCTCAGCTGACCTTCCTGATACCTAATTCAGATTGGAAGACTAACCTGTCTCTTTTTATCGCCAGACCTGTCAACAACCATGACAACTGTTTAATAGAGGCACTGAGTTATTGAACTGAAAATATTTCAATGTAGTCTCACAATTAAAATTTCTGTTTATCAGTGGATTGTGTTTCTCGAATTATAAATGAAACTGATATGAGTTGAGAATTGTGATTTGGGAACTGGGTCAGACTTATTGTCCAATCCGACTAATATTCCTCCACCTGCATCATTGACATGCCGGATTAAAAAATCGCAATGTTAATGAACCTGAAGCGCCACTGTTTCGTGATGTTACTTATAATTGATCATTACACCAGAAAGAAATGAAAACGCTCCTGAATAATTCAGATAATTTGTCATTCTTTTGAGGCAATGTTGGTTATGACATTGGTAGGCGAGGTCGAGTCCAAAACTAGGAGGTGGCAGGATGGTTCTGGGAATATTTTATCTCTATGTCTAAAGATATATACCTTTGGTTTATTATTGTTAGTTATTTGTTTATCATCTATGATGTTTGCTACAGGTATGAGGGGTAGGATCAAAAGAAAGGACCTTCATTACCCCTTGGTTTGAATGAGACGATTCTTGCACTGTTGAATTAACTGTATGAATACATTGTTAATAATGTAACCGCTTTCTATTACTTACCAATCGTTATCAGGGGGTGTTTTCATACAAACCACTACAATTAATTATTGATGTATGTAAATTTCTGGTTTTGAATCAGACACGATTTTTTTATCGACCCAGAAATACTTATTTAACTAGTTGTGATCTGTAGGTTAGATTAATAAAAGGATTAGGAGAGATTAAAAGTCGCGTGATGTAGGTAAAAAATAATGCTGCACGTTCAGGGAAGTTTTGAAAGATACAGTAAATAATTTAGAATTACGAATGTAGGTCAAGGGTAGTTGTGCACGTCCTGGGATCCGTTTAAATATACACGCTATAGAATCACTTATAGTTCATGTATATCATTTATGTTTTATGTAGATCAAGGGTAGTTGTGCACGTCCAGGGAAGTTTTGAAAGACAGAGTAAATAATTTAGAATTACGAATGTAGCTCACGGGTAGTTGTGCACGTCCAGGGATCCTTTTAAATATACACACTATTGAATCACTTATAGTTCATGTATATCATTTATGTTTTATGTAGGTCAAGGGTAGTTGTGCACGTCCAGGGAAGTTTTGAAAGACAGAGTAAATAATTTAGAATTACGAATGTAGCTCACGGGTAGTTGTGCACGTCCAGGGATCCTTTTAAATATACACACTATTGAATCACTTATAGTTCATGTATATCATTTATGTTTTATGTAGGTCAAGGGTAGTTGTGCACGTCCAGGGAAGTTTTGAAAGACAGAGTAAATAATTTAGAATTACGAATGTAGCTCACGGGTAGTTGTGCACGTCCAGGGATCCTTTTAAATATACACACTATTGAATCACTTATAGTTCATGTATATCATTTATGTTTTATGTAGGTCAATTGTAGTTTTACACGTCCAGTGAAGTTTTCAAAGACGCAGTACATAATTTAGAATTACTAATGTAGGTCAATGGTAGTTTCGTACGTTCAGGGAAGTTTTGAAAGATATACTAAGCAAAGAATTACTGATGTAGGTCAAGGGTAGTTATGCACGTCCGGGGATCCTTTTAAATATAGAATCATGTATATCATTTATGTTTTATGTAGGCCAATGGTAGTTGCACGACCAGGGAAGTTTTCAAACATTCACATGAGCAATTTCATATTTAGCTTTTAACAGTTGTATTTCACTGGAGATTGGACATTTGAAAATATACAACATTTAGTTTTATTTTGAGTTAGAATTATTCAGTGGTAATTGCCTGTTCTGCTTTTTCTGAGTGGGCTGGAAATATAAAATTCTAAGTAGCAAGCTTCTTTCGAAAGTAATATATGATACACAAGATGACATTACATTGAAATTAAAGCTAAGGTGAAATCGGAAAAGGTTTAAAATTGAAAATAAAATTATATTTAGATGTAGTTCATCTGGATTTAGGCGTCTTACACAGAAAACGAAGGCATTTATGAAGATATAAATGTACATGTAAAAAACAAACAATAATGGAATAGTGGTAAAAGAAATATCGTTGTAGAAATATTGAAAAACTGTTAATTTTCTATGGCATCATGATAGCTTTAAGATGAATTTTTGAAATAACATTTTATTATTTGGGATGTTATGTGATATGGTGCAGGAATATTGAATGTCGTATTATAATTATAGAGGTAAAACTAGATTAATATTACACGTATGTAGCACAATGTTGTCATCAGAATTCCAGTGACAGGTTATTAGTTTCGTGTTCTTATGTCTGTCTTCCTTTTTTCAGTTTTTGTTTATTTTTGCCTGCAAGTTCATCATAGTTCATCTGACTATGCAGGACATACATGACTCTCGAACGCAACTCTCGTGCAACTGAGTTGTGAGTTGCGTTCGGTTCTCATGACCAATATTCGTATTCGCAACAATATGCATCTGTGAGGGCACCTTTATTTTTTGCATATAATCATTTGAATGCTCGGTTATAGATGTACATGTTTGTGAAGGTGCCCTAGTTTTAATTTTAACATAATCAATCGATCAATCAAATCGTCTGTCCTGCAAAGCCTCCTTGGTTTGATATTACATGTAGTAGTGTGATTAAAATCAAACAATGTAGTAAATTGTGATATAATTGTATTTTATCTGTTTGTAGATTGTGTAACACTAACTCTAGTGGGACTGAATCTGATAAATGATTACTAGAAACAAAGTTAGAGTGAGAAATAGCGTGTCGGACTCGTATGTTTTGATTTTAACACATGTACAGCGTTATAGTTGGACTGAAATGTAATTAATTTGTATGTTGGTGTAAAAATATCTGAATTGAAATAACACATCCTTTGTCTGAACTCGTACCGGAAGTAGCGTAACGATGCTTATCGGATAATGACCACTTGTTATAATCCTGTACATTACATGGACTGTTCAACAGGTGGGTGTGTTAACAAACTCAACCTCTGCGTGTTGCTAGGTGTTCTGAAAGGATTAAAATGAGAACACCTTCTCAATAGAAGCAAGGGATTTACAAGCAATAATAAACCTAGTTGATTTGTGGATTTGTGTGACTTGACAAGTTATTATAAAGTGCTAAGACTAAGCTGTAAAATCAGAGTTCAGTAATTAAGGATGTTCTCACTGAATTATAGTGGCTTCGGAATTTCAAACATTCTTCATTGGTAACCATGACATTCTTGTTTCTAGCAATGTTTTGGATGAAAAATTCTATCATAAACTCAGACTAACTTCCATACTGTATGATCAAAGCATTCCAATTTGTCTGTGCCAGTAAATCTTGATGTTTACATTATAACATCTATCTGTTTAATATTGAACCAGTAACATCGTGTACCATCTTGACAATGGATATAACCTAATTGGGTCTTCTCTTATCTATATTGTATAGACTATAAGGCTTGATTCCCCAGGAGGCGAACTTTCAATCTATTACACCGTCATAATCGTTGTGATCAATCCAATATGGCGAAGTGTCCATATCAGATTACGTTAGAACCGGAAGTTACGTTGTTTTACTAATATGGCGGATGTTTCCGTTCCGTCTGGATCCAAACATATCGTAGTCGCCGAAACGCATTTAAATAATGATACAAAGACAGTGGGGGTGCAGGAGCCACACCCCGAGGGCCAAGCCCTTAATGATGATGCCAATAGTGATAAATCTAAATCTGAAACTCCTAATGAACCGGAAATTAGTCAAGATTCCGTTGAGCCGGAAATTGGTAAAGATTCCATTGAGCCGGACGTTGTCGTTGATCTGGAACCGTCCTCGCAGCAAGAAGTTTCGAAAGAAGATGCTTCACCTGCGAGTGATAGTAAGACTAAACCTCAAACAACCTCGCCAATTTCAAATCATAAGAACGTTGGACGTTGCGTGAGTGACTCGGAAATTATAGTGGATGTTCCGTCGAAACGCAAGCAAAGTATAACACCGGTCGATGTTTCATATCCGTCCACTTCCAAACAGAACGCTTCGGAAACGAAGTCGGCGCCAGAGACTTCATCTCGGAGAGGATTGAAGAGCATTTTAAAGACACGCAGTGAATCACAAATTATTCTGAACATGCCCATTCTCAACGCCGAAAAACAGGGCATTATCGGGAAGTTCAGCAACGGGACGTCGGTGGACGATGGTGGGATTACCGGTGTGCGTTTTGAGTTAGAAACGGAGTTATCTGGAACTACCAATACGAAACGGAAACGGAAGAGTGGAAGATCTAAAGAACCAAAGGTACGATAATTTTTTATATTTACTTTTCCCAAAGAACAACCCACTCATCCTAGGGTCTTAGTGGATTTATTACTAATCCAGGGGTCTTTATCCAAGGTCTCAAATCCAACCAGAGGGTCTTACGACCAATCACAGGGTCTTACAACCAAACAGAGGGTCTTACAACCCATCAACCCATCAGAGGGTCTTACAATTCATTTGGTGGAGTTATTACTACTAAAAGGGTTGTTTATCCAGGGTCTTAGAACCAACCAGAGGGTCTTACATCTCATCTAAGAGTCTAAAACATGCTACGGATAACTGTAATCGAGCTGGTAAAGCAAACAGTAGAATGACAATTTCCCTTTAAGTTGTAATTAGAAGATATATGAGTCTTTCCGGTGGTTTTAGTAGCGTCTGAGTCGACTAATTCTTATTCATAGACCACTTGTATTGACAGGAATTCACTCAGTTTCTTCCCCATTAGCTGTAATATGACAGAGGTTGAATACCGATTGCTTCATGACAATGGGAATACTAGAATGAGAAATACGGTGTTTCTTGCTTTTGTATAAAATGACAGTAAAGATTTTGGCAAGAATGTAGGGTCTATTTTCTGATCTGGTTTAATCGATCATTTACAACTTCCTTTTTAACTAATGGTCCATGTTTATGTTATTGTTTTGCACCTGCATGGTTCCTCCTTATTCATAGTCATTCGCTTGTGTTCATGAAGCGAGGTTCCACGAGTACGCCGAGCTTTGAGAATCAAATGGTGCTATTCTACCAAAATGTACTCTATACACAGTGTATTGAGGTACCCGTTATTATTAGCCAATGGAATAAAATCTTTATTCATTACATGTAGTTATTAACAGTGAAGACACAGATTTTCGAAAAGTCCGAATGAAAAACTTGTGAAAATTGCTTTTAATCTAATGGTTTTGACATTTACAAAGATAATAGAAAAACATAATCTTCTCATTAAAATAGCTCACAACTCTGTCTTTTAGATTGACTGTCACTGGGTCTAAATATATGTCATACAGCAGTTTTATATCTCTAAGAGTACTTACTTTAAAGAGAGCGTTTTCAGAAGAGGTGCCAAAGATCGCATGCTCCATTCTCGCAAAAATCTGCACCGTAAATGCAGCACTTCAGAATGTTCAATAATTCAACGCCAAAGTTTTATTGTATGTTTTGGTAAGGTTCGTGTGATATGTCTTAAAAATATTGCGAGACTATGTTGGTGGAATGTGTTTTAAAATTCCCCACAAGTCACGAAAAATAGTCAGAGAGAGGACCTTGTTAGCATTTGTGTAGATTTCCGGATCCATGATCACTACCCTTTTAAAACAATTTGCTGTATCTGGCTAAAGTTCACCTCTTGCATCTCATAAGGTTGCAGCTCAAAAAAGACCATGGAAGTAGAACACAAAAAAAACATTCGATTGATAATACTGCCCTATAGGTGAAGATATATCATCATAATCTTTGAGCTGTCTGTTTGTATTAGCCCTCTCTGTACTCGAACTGTCTCTGCAATTCATTCCAACACGCGACTTCCTCTGGGCCTCGTCCTACTTATCATTATAGCACGCCAGTTAGATAAAACCTTTTATCAATTTCAATTTCTCTTAACACGCAGCTGACTCGTCTCCCACTCGCAAACCCTCAGGCACCTTGTTTATTATGAAATTGTCTTCTGTGTTATGCAAGGATAGAGGTGATTGATTGTCCGATTCGCCGACAGGTTCTTAAACTTCCAAACACTCGTATTTATAACTGAATTGCGTGCCAAAAACATCTGAACAGTTATATTCTCAATCTGATGGGTTCATAAAACATGATTTCATTTTAATACATGTCTTTCTGGTGAAAGCTACATTGTTTCAACGTCTAAAACTCATAATAGAATACATATCTGTCGACCCTATTTGATGAATGCAACAGAATATGCCACAAAACATGATTTCATTCATTTCATGTCTTTCCGGTGATAGCTATACAGTGTCTCAAACGTCTCGTCTCAATCAGATGGATGCATCAAAATCTGACTTCTAATTTCATTTCATTATATGTTTTCTATCCCTGTAGAAGGTTAGACACATGGAAGTTATTATTCCTGGCACGCTCTGAATGCCAACTCAATGTGACCTACTTTCGATGAGCATCTCGGTGGAATAATCCTTTTATGTATTACGACCTTTATTAGTTGTCTTCGTGTACCTCGGAACCCTTGAATATTTCTTTTTCTGCTTTTTCAAACGATTGCTGTCACTGTCTAATCTCTTATATTTCTTTGGAGGATTGGTCATAGCTCTGTTCTGTTCTATTTAGATATATAGAGCAACTTCCACACGTATCAGATTTGTAATGACTCCTTTCTGAGTATCGATCACGATTCCAAGACTAAGGTATGAGCATGAGTTCGTAAGTCTTGCCGAAGTGCGTATTCTTCAACCGTGGACCTCATTTGCAAATCGTAGCATGATCATACATAGTTTGATTAGTTTAACTGCCTTTTCGGTCTGTAGACAGTTCCTCGGACTTCCAATTACAACATAAAAGGCGAGAGAAAGTTACTGAATTCGTTATTAGGAATAAATTGCATGTCGACACAAATTAACATTCTTTGATGTCCGTATGTTTAATTTACAGCTGCCACTCTCTACAACATGCGATGCATTAATAAGGTGCTGTTTGTATATTCATTTGCAATCCCCAAACGTTCTTTGATATTAGCTTCGTTGTTGTATTAACTATGGAGGGTGTCAAAGGACATTCCCAGGTTTTATTATTAAAGTAGATTTCGGGATTCCGATACTCTTCGTTAACTAACATATATTACGGCCTCAATGCATGTTAGATTACACAGAGTATGTGTACTTTAATGCGATCACTGAACTCTTCTTGGGGTAGATCTTAATGCATCTGATCTGTATTTAAGCATTCTAGTACAGTGATCTGCTCTCCACATTGACGTGATATCGGGTGGAGCAACAATGAACAGTTAGAGCACATGCGAAACAGAAAAAGATGATGCGCAGTGTTTTCGAAAGAGCAAGAACTCCCTGTCTTGGACGACTCCATATGCCCTTCTCCTATGATAAGTTAAGGCACGGCCATAGACATCAGTGGCCTCGATATATGTGATACGTTAAGCTGTCGGTATTCTAACGACAGAAATCGGTGGTCTCGATATCCAATGAAGATTTGTTAAACTGTGGGGATTTTAACGACAGAAATCAGTGGTCTCGATATTCTATGATATGAAATGAAATCGACTCCTCCGGGAACTCTTTTGACATTTATCACTTATTAAAACGAGACACATAGGAATACCGGCGTTGTCCTACAGAATCTAGAGGCTTCATAATACTGCATTTAATACATCGATTTTTTTTTATCAGTTCCCAATATGCTTCTATATTTATTTATTAAATCTGATTTGTGCTGAGAATCATTCTGGTTAAAATTCTGATAAATCAAGGCCAGTGGAGTAGCTAGGATTTCATTGACAGGGGTCATCCGAGCGGACCAGTTTTTAACTGATACTGTCACCTGGGTACAAATATTCCAATTAGTCTGTGCAGATTCGATCCAGACGTAATATCTGTATAAACCTAAGATACTCAAGTCTTGAACTAATCATGTTTAGATCCTGTTTCACTTTATTGCCATTGAAATGCTGAATCCAGACGTACATTTTGTCCGATGATGGCCCATTTAATTCAGTGCAGTAACCCCTTTGAAACTATTTCTCATTACTTCCCCTTATGATTTTAGATAGCAAGCTTTGTCAATCCGGCATTTGAACAAGAGGATCCAGGTGCTAATTACAAATTCGCAGATCTGGTGGAACAGTTATTGGGTCATGGGACAGACGATCAAACAGATTCCCACCCATATGGCCGTAAAGCATGTCGTCTGGGGAACGATGGGCGTGCATTCATGGACTCGGGGAAGCCAATGATATGGTTCGTGCTGATGGTCGTCATGTTGAGTGCTATCGGTGGTATTATATTCCTCTCAGGTGAGACGTTCAGCCACTTTTGATTTTAACCGGATCCAGTTGCGATCACGTCTATTCGTAAAGAGGCTGATAAGGTCAAGAATAGTACGGCAGGTTATTAAGTCTTAAGTAAGTGGACATAAAAGAGATCGAGTCTACAATTTATTTATTTTTGATTAATTAAGCAAATACTTCCACCTTTGACGTTATTGGGCACATTTAAGAGACTTGATAATAGTAAAAACGTTAATGATCAAGTCTACTTAAATAAATGAATAAAAATGATATACATTTGACGTTAGTAAGTCAAGTGAAGAGACTTGATAATTGTTAAAACGTCACTGATCGAGTCTACTTTTGAATAAGCGGATATATCAGTAATGCCATTGATCACGGCTCCTTTTTGAAGTGGTATTATGGTACTTAACTCTCGGTAATGTTATAATCCGCTGATAGTCGAGGTTTGACTGTCGGGCTTTTAACACGATATGTGTATTTAACTTCCATTCCGGCTAATTGTTTCGCTCTGAACACATCATTATCTGATAAGAACACTCGCTCGCGGGAAATAGAAAGCATTTCCTTCCGATGATTCACTCGTTAAAAATCAGGAGCCTGTGTCGTTGTACTTGATAACTCGTTCTCTATTTGGTTTATTATTCTGATAAGAACACTCGCTCGCGAGAAATAGAAAGCATTTCCTCCCGATGATTCACTCGTTAGAAATCAAGACCTAGTCTCACTGTTCTTGACTACTCGGTTTCCATCATTTTTGTTTGTATAAAACGTACTCCAAGCGCTTTTTGTGCAATATTTCCCATTTTACAGATAAAATGGCTGTCGTTAAATGCAGAAGATATTATCCGATTTATGGTAGCATGCGTCATGCAATTTATGCCAAGCTATTCCCTTCTATTAAGCAATCAATTACGCGACGTTTATCGAACAATAGATTTCGTAGCCTCAATCATCCAGAATGCTGACTTTATTATCAATTCGTTCTGCAGTCTGGACAGAAAGGACTAAATTAAATCATTTTTACGATCTTGTCTCTCTTTAGCAAGTCTTTAACAAAACTGCCAAGGACGATATCTCTTTGATGTTTTAAATTGACGTAGAAAAGTTTTTCTATTTTTTTGATTCATAGAGAAAATAAAACCAATTGGTCTGAGCTTATCTTTATGCTGTTCAATTCCTCGCTTCGGATATGAATTCCTCATCAGGACAAAACAAATGGTTTGATAATTAGGTTAGCTTTCATATATTTTGATCTATTTATATGGTAGATCAGATAAAAATATAATAAAAATTAATATAATTGCAGGACAAAAAATAGTTATATCATAATATTTTGTTTTTTATTTCATTTGATGTATTTTTTAGAAACCAGGAAACGAATTCCAGTGTATTTAACGAATTTAACCATCAGTGCTACAACAACAGAAGAAACTACAGACTTCTTATAGTACAAACTTTATCAACGCTTTATCCATTGGAGGAGGAATCCCGAACCATTTATTGGGGAGCGGGATTCAGGATTTGTGCTAGCAATAACATCTTTGATGGTAGTCGAAACACCACTGTTTTGCTGGGAATGGTGAGAATATCTGCCCACAAAAACAGCTTTGATGGTAGCCGAAACACCACTGTTTTGCTGGAAATAGTGAGAATATCTGCGAACAAAAACATCTTTTTTGGTAGCTGAAATGATTAGCCTGGCTTGGCTTCCTGGTGAAAAGCAACCAAGACGAATGTATGGAGGTAGTCTAGATAACGAAAAATCTAAAACAAAAACAGTTTGAATTTGGATCAGAAGACTTTAATGTGTCAAACTTTATTGGGATTGGACTTGAAAGTTTGTTTGTAGGTCGTTTTAGCTTTGTTGGAAATTGAATCGTGAATGTTAACATCGTCTACGAAGCGACAAAACAATCAAATAACTTGAAAAAAAGAGACCAGTTTTCTCATATTTCAGGACAATTTTTTGCTATTTTATTTTTGTAAAAGCGTTCTTTATCTGTGCCAATATTTCCCAAGTCTTTCCTGCTGCTTGTATATTCTGGACATCTTGAAATCGTCTGCTCTCTGGTTTCCTGTGCCATACAGTCTGTGTCCTGTCGAGGTAAACATCTCATAAACATAGTTAATGCAAATTTAGACAGTGCATATCCTCCAGCGACATAATCTTCAAAACTCTTTTTTTTTTTAACTAAAACTTTAGGCTTAAAGCTTCAGTCGTAGATATCTGCGTACAGTAGTGGCGATGTAGATCTATGCATTAGTGTCAATTTGTAATTGGGTCAATGGTTTTTTATGCACGTCCATGGAAGTTTCCATTTATAGCAAGGGGCAGTTTACTAGTTTTCAAGGTAGGATGGGTGGTAAGTGAAGCTAGATGTGCATTATCTCTGGTTAAACCTAAAGTGAATACTTTTTTGGACTCGTCCGGGTATACGTAAACATCATTGATTGGATATGCAACGGTTGTATTACTACCCGAGGCATTTATCATTGTTAAATCTTACGGACAATCCGTGTGCATACTTTACATGGTGTTTTTGTGTTTTTTATAAGGACGATTATGTCGTGAGTTCAGGTCGTATATCTCAGACACCATTCTTTGTTATTTCTACGAAAAGGTTGTGTACATAGTTTTTAGTTGTTATCTTAGTTGAACGATATTGTTGTGTATATAGTCTGTATATTTGTTAAATAGTACTTTGTTACCAATGTTTGGTGTATGAATTAAAAAGAAAATTCCTCATTACACAGTGCTTGTATTGCCTACCCAGAAGCAGAAGAGCAGGAAGTTATACTCCACATCAATTTGACCCAGACAATCTATCAAATGCTGCCTACCTACCATATGAATTATTATTTTAATCTTTCTAGTTTCCATGGTAACATCATTAATGGTAAATATCAAGGTGTATCAAAATCTAATCAGTTCATAAAATTGCCGTGCAACTATAAATATAAAATATAAATGAAGTTCTAATGATCCCTACGTGTTTGATAGCATTCCGGCAGCTCTCCGACGATCTGTGAGATGCCACGATGCATGTATTGCCACTTTTTTGCGATAAGGTACAGATGAGTAGAACGTTAAAAAACGTTTGTTTTGCTAACTGAAAAGCCACTTGTTGTTGGCTGTGTACGTTTTAAATCCATACAATTTTGAAATATAGGCCTTATTCCTCGCCTAATAAGGTGTTGCGTTATCACCCAGCATTTGCTTCGAAAAATGCAGATGAATGAAACGATAAACTTCATTCCGTTTCTCTCAGCTGTCTTAGAGTTTTTTTTTCTGACAGTTTCTTAAGGCTTCCGACTTGTAAATCAACCGAGAATGATTTTTCCCCAGTTCGTTATATAATAGGTCTATCATTCTTAATATTTAAAATTATTTTTTGAAAGTCTTTGAGACATTCTGAAAGAGATATCCGAATGTTAATGATATTATTTACGATTCGTTAATCAAATTGAAATAATAGAAAATTAGGTCAGTCTGAGAGAAAGATGAAATGAAATCTGTGATATTATCAATTCATTTTAAACCTCGTTATTTCTCAATTCAAAAATTATATATTGTTATTTGATTCCTAGACACTATTCAAATCTGAATTAGTGTCCGAGACCTGCTTTATCGCACTAGTCATATTTTCTCGTATCCTAGACGCTTTTGATAAAACAAGATTCGATTGGTCTGGTTTCTTGATGATATTTACTCTCTACAGACAAAAATTGAAGGATCCAATCACTTTCTGAAAAGATATCTATGGAAACATGAGTTGATAGTTAAAAGAAGAGGCGGACCAGCTTTTTTAAAACCTGGAATAGTGGCCCAAATCATTTCTTATAATGCAACAAGCGGTCTATAGTAAAGCGGTCCGCTAGCTCTCTCTAACATTTCGGTATTACAATTTAAAAGCAAGAAAAACGAGTTTGTCTTAAAAATTCTTGGGTGCAGCTTTCAAAAAAGGAATTCTAGTTAGAAAATTGGGACCAATTTAGTTTATCAGGTTATATTGTTCAGTTAAACCTTGTGATTGATAATGGCGGGAGCAGCTTCCTTAAACTAGGAATTCTAAATAAATTGAAGCTATAGAATTGAGACGGGATTTATCAATTTAGAAAATGCAGATAGCTGATTTATTTTGATAGTTTCATTTTGAAATAGATCGGGTCTGAAATCTTGTAGAAGTCGAAGAACCTAGGGATTAGAATGTTCCTTTAAATCAAGCTTTAAATATCTTGTTGAACAGTTTGTGTGTCCCCCGAGAGGATTGTCATTTAATAACAAATTTCCATCTTCAGATCAGAACATAATTAGATTTTAGACACGATATAGTTGGGTTAAAATCAAAATTTGCTATCAGAGAAATGGACCTCAAGCAGGAGGTTTTATACAACTTTCCAAATAACTCAACGACTTCATGAAACACTTCAAAATCTCAGAGATCTGCTTATCCGATTGTCACAGGGACGTCTGTCTTAGGACTTAAGTTTAATGGCGGTGTTATCATTGCAATAAAGATGCAAGATCGTCGAGAGTATTTTGAAATCTAACGATTGACCAATTTCCAGAGCTTTTTGTCTGTGTTTCGATTTTTATTTCATTTCCTGGAAGTGATTTAAATATTGTGAAATGCAAAAAATAAATCTCCAAAAATAACAAGAATCAGATTTATATCAATCAGAAAAAATCAGAAAACTTCTGTTCGATGAAATTGCTCAATAAACATCTTTAGCTAGGTCGTCTCTCCGGAATGGAAACCGAAGTTACATTACTGTAATTGCTCCTTTGTGTTTTTAATTTCGCAATTTTCTTAAATCGTAATCTCGAGACACTCATAATCAGTTTTATCAGAAAAAGGTGGAGATTTCATTCCATAATTTTAACGGAAACGCCCGATTGATTTCCGTTTTTCACGGATACTTAATATTGATTTCCAATTCGATACGGTAACTCCCGATTGATTTTTTGATTAGGACAATGATTCCCCACCATAAATAGGAAACATTTAATCATATTTTTAAAAATATCGATTTCAATGTATGATAGATTGTGACTGGGGATACTTATTTAGATTTGAATTCATCAGTTTTAATAGTATTGATTATTCCTTACCAACGAGCTTCCAATTGCCTCGATTAACAATTATACAGTTAGTCTTGCGTGAAGGACGATGTGACCCCTCCTCCGTCCGCTCACTTCTTACGTACGTCATTAACTTGCAGAATCTCGCTGATTATCTCTCGAATGAGGTAACTATCGTCTGATAATATAGATTTTGTTTAGTCTAGAACTCTTGCCACTACGACATTTAAAACGTTTGGCAGATAAGTTTGACATTTTTGATTGACATATTAAGACCTCTCAAATGTACTTTTATTGGAGGCAGGTGACATTGATGGTTTGCGAAGCCATTTTATAACATGGTGAATTCTTTACGATTAAAAACTGCTTAAATTTGTAATTAATATTACAAGATATATTCCAGCTCCCGGTGGTTCTGAGATTTCATACTTTCATGATCTTTTGCTGGTATGTTTAATTCGAGTATATAATTTACCACCCTCGGGTATTGAAACTGTGCCTAACGGAAAAAACAATTAAACCATCACTGAAAATAATAATGTCTGTTATAAGTGGGCCATTATTGAATTCCAATTTCCACGAGACAAAATAATACTTGAAATCGTTAAATAGGGCAGCCAGATCGTTTAAAAACTAATAGTAGCCATGGAAGTATCAATGAACGATTCTCTACGGCATGAGTCAATATTTATATACCTATTTCAGAACATACTCAATAATTTGTCCAATATTCAGACATGGATCTGTAGAAACTTGGAAAATAATGTTATGTTCTGGGACAGATACCAGTTATCAAAAATAATAAACTGTAATTTAGATGGAACAATTTCTGTCTGTTTAGAACCTGTAATTTCCATGCAAAATGTTTCCCTGAATATGCATTCAAAATGTCCCATCTTTTTTTAAATTGAACCATCCATGAAGTAAATAACATAGCATTTATAGAATTAAGAATATGTTTGCTAAAATGTACGTATTTTCCCTAACAGGCCCATAGCCAGACTTTTTTTTCCGGGTGGGGGTGGGGACAAGTAATATATCCGGAGGGGCAATATTGCCCCACTTGTCACCAGTAGCTTCTTGCCCCCTGTAGCTTCTTGCCCCCTGTAGCTTCTTGTATGTCATGATCTCCCCTCTACCTCTAGCTACGGGCCTATCTCCCAATAAGACAATGGAAAAGTAGCACATTCTTGTACTTGTATTTTGTCCCCCCCCCCCTCTCTCTCTACCTTAGCTACGGGCTTATTTCCCATTCTTGTATTTGATGAACTTGTCACTTCCCCTCCCACCTCTTTCTCTCTCTATCTTAGCTACGGGCCTATTTGCCATTCTTGTATTGGGTGAACTTGTCACGGTGTAAAGACATGAAGAAATTACCACGAGTGCTTCCACTTGAAACTGTGTTAGACAAGTACCACAGGCTCGACAAATATTGGAATATGGTTGGATCTATAAAGTGGCGAACGATTATTCGATTTGGACAATAATGTTAAGTGTTGACTGTAAACAACCTAAGTGATGTTTTATAGATACGACGGAATTCTGCCACTGATTTTACCGTTTCCAGCCCACCCTGTATCGATCAAGATTTATCTCTGATATGAGCTGGAGAGAATTAGGATGTAAAACTCCTTTATTTTCTTATGATTTCGCTAACCTCTTTAATTGTTTAGTCGATACATTTTGGAGAAACTGTTAAAGTTCGTTGCGAATGTACATCCTTCCGCTTTTGTTCAGTTCAGAAAAAAATATACCTTTTATTACTTGTGACCTAGGCCTCTGTTTTAACTTCTATGTTTTCCTGTCGACACATCCGAGACATTGTCTCGGCAATCGATGGAAGTTATCGATAGAACCAACGCCCATAATTCCCCGTATTTACCTCTAATGAGGTTTTAATGAGAGTTGATTAACGATTAGTAATAATAGATCTAACTATCAGGCAAAGGCGGGGACAGCAGACCAGCATACAAGAAATTGTCATAATAGATCCACTCTATATTAAAGTGCGCCGAATTGGTAGGGCAAATAAGGAATTGTCAAAAGTAAAATGGAAAGCTCAGAATTGATCGACGGCATGGAAAACCAACATCGTGGGGTAGCTATCAGTAAATGTGCCAGAGCTGAATGTGGCTTTTGAGAATATAGAAACAGTATCGGGAGGGGCAGGTTCAAGAATAGACCAAATTTGTTTGTTTGGTAAACGGTTTTAGAGTCAGCTGGGGGTTGTAGGGGTACATACGACGGGCTATTATGTACTTGATGCGTGTTTGGAAAAGAGATCGTTGTTTTAGATTCAGAAAAGTGGAGAGACGTAGAATTATATAAGGTTGTAAATACATATAGAAGAAATAAAACGACAGAAAAAACATCTCCATCAAATATGTCATTATCGTCTGTCACCCATTTCAACTGTCGTATTGGCAAGGTTCCCAGACGTAACAAAATAACAAACAAGAACATCAAAACAAAATGACACGTTTCAGACGCTTGCTTCAACTCAATCATTTATCATCTTCTCCAGCCAAGGTTTTCTATTATTCACCTCTCAGTTAAATGTTACTCGGAGTACTTGGCTGAAATGCACTCCTGCTGTGTTCGCTCATTGGCTCTTCGAAAAGCTTTCTATGGAATGGTAGACCTTGCAAGACGACCAAAAGAAGATGTGCTACACAAAGGGAGACAATGATGAAATCAAATTATCCACTCAGACAACAGTAAAACGACATACTTTGGTTTACTTCTTGCAGTACAAGGGAGAAGACTTGAGATTAAAACAGATCGAGCAGTCCTTCGTTCATAAAACAATTTTCATACAATGCCTTGACGTATTGATATCACCTAGATTGTTCGGTTGAGACTTTGAAAATAACCCTGATAACTGAGCCAAAAGCACCCGGAAGAGGCCCGTGGCAACAAGCCCCCTTCCCCCTGAAAAAATTCTGATAACCGACCAACTCCATTACTGAAACTAAACACCGTACATCATTGCCCCTGTGGATATATTACTAGACCCTACCAACACTCCATTCTGGCTACGGACCCGACTTGCATTGAAACTGACGATGAAGAACAAGCAAGCGATACGGTTAATGCTGAGATATCAATGCAACCTTATACGTTATAATCTTCGGGAAGATTTATATTCAATAGGTCTTTTTTTTGCAGTGTAGATATATCCCAGTTAAAGACAATATTCATACAAAAGGCTTCGCTTCTACAACCTAGTATTGACCGAAAACAATAATATGCCCGGAGATGCAGAAAACAAACGTTTTTGATTGATGCTTCCCCTATAAATATTTAATAAGGAATTGATATTTGTGGTTTTTGCGTTGTCAAAATTGAATAACGTTTCGATTTATCGTCTTGATATCCTCTCGATATAAACAATACATTGCTGTAAGCACTAAAATATTACTATGTTGGTTTTTTTAATACAAAGGTGACTAGACAATAAGAATTCGTTTGAAGAATTTCATAGAAAAAAAACCAGTAACGATCCGAACGGCGAAAAGAAACCAAATTACAAAAAACAAGTTCAGCAATACAATTCAAATGAGGAGTAAATCAATCATAAATGAGTAAGTATTTCATAATGAAAAGTGGTATTAGGTGTCTAGAAGAGTGAACTTACCCTGCCTGGCACCACACCCGACAGTAGGCCTATATCAATCATAAATGAGTAAGTATTTCATAATGAAAAGTTGTATCAGGTGTCTAGAAGAGTGAGCTTACCCTGCCTGGCACCATACCCAACAGTAGGCCTATACCAATCATAAATGAGTAAGTATTTCAAAATGAAAAGTGGTATCAGGTGTGAAGAATAATTCAATTAAATACCTTCAAAATTGTTATTTTATTTTTTTTCATATGATATTTTTGTTTGTATTCATCAGCTCTCGTTTCTTTCTTGCATGTGTCTTTATTTATTAACCAGGAACCCAAAGAAAGTAAAACTGCTTTGATCTTAGTGTTCTTAGACTAAACAAATGATTTGATAAAAACAAATTTAAAAGTAATTGATTTTAGTATCATGTCGAGTTATATTATCTTAGTACATGTAATATCTAGGGGACAGATAAAGGGAAAGGAACGCAAGTTTCTATAGGCAACATCTTAGGCTCACTTGAAATTCCAAACGCGGACACGGTTTACTGAGGAATTGTATACGTTCTTTATAGATTTTTACTCTTGTCACATCAGGTTGGGTACAGTGCCGTATCAACAGCCACAGACCCCCCCCCCCCCCCTTTCCTCCTCCTTCAGGCCTGTAAAATATATTATTTTGAAGTGAATGTTCATCGTTTTACGTCCGACTTTTCTGTACCATGTAGGCTAATGAAGACGGGCAACGCCAAGCAGGGTGTAATGAGAAAATTTTGCCAGGATAGCGGCATTAGCCTGCTCTTTCTCGATTTCCAACTATCGAGGGATCTTTAATGTGTACAGCCTGTAGCACACGGGGCCTCGGTCCCATCCGAACGACTAGACGCTTTTTCCATGTCAGCCATCATCTGTAAGCAGCAACAATAAACAATATCATAGTCAGTAACATAACTTCAACGATGTGTAGCAGGAACAGTATTATAATCAATGGTAATATCAGATGCAGAATCTACAACATCAATTCATGGTTGTTTTCAGACTGTCTAATTTAAAATGAATTATGTATTTTATATTGTCATTTCTAACGAACAGTATTCTGTACGGGGAATACAGCGATAACAGAGAAACTATCTGATTTGAATTTGAATCAATATACTTGGACATACACAGACAGACGTGCCAATTCAAAGTATGCAATTCTATACGGTTATGTATGTTTCTGTTAAATTTCGATTTTTTTAATTCTTATTTACATTAATGTAGGAACCATTAAGTAGAACAAGAAAATACTTATCAAAAACAAAGGATGCATATGAAAATAGCTTTGTAAAATAAAGCGTTCTCATGAATTAATTGATCGAGATTGTTCTGTACATGATTTCACAGATCTGTACTGGAGGAACGCGTCTTTAAAATCTTTATAATCCACGAATGTGTTTTGATTTGTTGTATGAGCTGAAAACACAAAAGATAAAGGCGTTTTATAAGACACAAATGGCTTTTTATTTTATAACCTGGCTAACATAACAGACGACGTCAGATCCTATCTGCTTTAATAGATGGCTTATAGATCCATGTGCTCACTCCGAGGTCCGTGCTAAAATGATTCGTTATATCTTAATTGAAATAGAATTTGAAGCATCATTGTGGTCTATGGTTTTATGATAACTTGTTTGGTCTGAGAGAGAGAAAGAGAGAGGAAGACTAAAACCAGATATTGTGATGTGAAGAAGAAGAAGAAATCATTATTTTATACCAGAAAACTTTAGAGTGCTCTTAAGTGTGCATGTACCATACAAATTATGAAATGTCAGGTTTGCACCGGATACATCATTGTTTTATTATTGAATCATAGAGTACGTTCGTCTTTTTGAAATTACATTTATTGTGACAGTTTGTTTTATGGAATTGGATAAAAAAATATCGTTAAGGTTCATAACTGACAGTTGTCTTGTATTAATAATAATTATTAACTGTCTTCGGATGATGTTGTGTATTTGCCTTCGTGATTGTTATGATTTTTTAAAAGAATCTGGAACGGTTTATTTAGTTAAAGAATAAAAATAAAAACAACAGTGGAATTAATATCAAAAGGTACAATGAATGTAACTGTAATGTCGTTTATTAAATATGAAGATATTCTCAAGGAAATGAAATCTTTAGCTAGAATAATTATAATAGTAATATTTATGAATATCGCGCTATGTACAGGTACGTATGACTCTCTTCCATTTTTCAGTATCATACTGGTTAACAAATCTACTTAGTTATGACGGGTGTGGCACCAGGGTCTGCTTACTCTTCTAGACACCTGATATACTTACTCATTTATGATTGATATACTTCCTCATGTGAAAAGTTCATTAACTGCTACCACTATTTCATCAAAATGCTGTTACGGATTTTGGGTTTCGTTTTGCGGTTCGGATTGTTAGTGATTGGTTTATTTATTAGTAGCTTTATCCAGTTCATCTGACTTTGATCATTTTGTCAGTAAAGGATTTTTGATTAATGGTCAGTGTTTTTTGTTTGATTCATCTGTTGACCATTCAATGATCTTGAGACTCTCAATGATTTTTTATATTTTTGTTGAGCTCCGCTTCCAAGCGTTACATTTATGGACATTTAATACACTAAATGATACCTCTTGTTTTAGCAAACAATGGCGTCTTCGCTTCTCCAAAAAACTGTATTAATATTACCCCAGTTTCCATCCACAACAACATGTGAAATTAATAGCACATTGTGAATAAAACTATTGCTCATTGATCATGGGGAAAAAAATCTATCCCCCTTTTCCCACAGACGTAATCAATTATAGCTAAATAAAAATAGAATTATCAAGTTTCAAAAAGAAACATGTGAAAATAACATATTGATAACATCTTCAAAGAGTTGTTTGCTCTGGGCTAAATCATTGAAACTTGTTGAAATTGAAAAACTTGTTATTATTTGGAGTGTTTGGCTTGTTTCTCTGTGTATACTATTATAACGATTTACTAAATCTTCAATAATTACTTAATGATATTTTGTTTATTCTGAATTTATACCATCCTAACCAAAGTGAAGAATGTTTAATAGATTTATAACTTTTAAATATCAAATATATTTTTTTAACAAAAAAGTATTTCGAAAAATCCTTATGAAGAAGATTCGTGTATTTCGAATTATTTGATTGCGTTGCAAAATGCAAATATTCATTACTTGTAATCATAAAATCAAGTCAAAATAAAAAATGGATTATTTGCCAAAACCCGGTTCGTAGATCAATTGTTGTATATGTTTTTTAAGTTCGCGAAAATTTTACTTATATAATATCTCTAACTTAATAAAAAAAAAAACAAGCGTGTTCATTACCATTTATCTCACGCAATTATGAATCTATACGTAATCGTATTTATCTTTTACTTTACTAACGATAACAATGGGATGTTGAAAGGGAATACACAATGATGTATGTATATAATGAATCCTATGTAGCGTACTTATGTGATCAATTTTATGTAAGGACAATTTAAATATTTAATACCCTCTACCTGGCATTTCCATGACTAACTAGTCAATTATTACAGGATGCACCGAGCCTCAACCTGTTCCACATGCCTACAGATATACTGACAATATCAGCCTGCCAGAGGGTAGCTGGGTCAATTACACCTGTTATCATAATTACTATTGGATAGGTGGAGATCTAAATAGAGAATGTCAGGCTGGTGTTTTGACTGGTAAACCTCCTGTTTGTGATGGTAAGAATTGTACAGTTTCCACACCTTGAAGACAGTTTCTGTAAAATCTTTTCCATGGTTATTGGTAAAAAGTCCTTAAACCAGTAAAATAATAAATCAAAGAAAAAAGAAGACAAAACTCACCAGACCAATATGTAAGCGTTGAAATGGTTTCATTATTTTCTTTCTTTTTTGCTAGAATACAAAATATTGTCTCTAGCTCGTTCAGCTATTCCTAAACCAGGTAGCTTGGGTGGTAATGGTAACTCTCTTACTGATGGTGATGAACGGACTTGTGAAAGTACCACCGCCTCGACAGAACCGAGTTGGACCATTGAATTTAATGGCACTAGATATGTGTATTCTGTTTACGTAACTTTGGACATGGTCAGCAGTAAGTGTATTTGACTATTTCAGATGCGTGTACGAGCCGAGGCCTTATTAGGGGGAGGGAGGGGGGGCTCGTGTTGGCACTGGGCAGTCTGCTTAGTTAATATTTTCCCACGAACCTGTATTTATCTTTGTTTTGGAGTTGTTGTCCGATATATTTTCCTTCGCAGCCCGAAAAGATTATATTTAGGCAGATGCCTTCGTTGCCCATAATATAAAATTATAAATTATTATAAAACTTAATTGAACTTCGTTGTCAAGGTTGTGTTCTAGACGACGCGACACTGGGCGTAAATAACGAACTGCAATCGTGTGATATTTATCCGTCACGTATACGTTTAACTCTTTTTTTTTATAGATATCGGTATAGACAGAATCGAAGTTTATGTTCGAAACACAACATCACAACATCCAGGGATTCTTTGTGGTACTAAAAACTCACCACTTTCATTGACCGATATTGTTGAACTTGTTTGTCCACCTAACAGTATTGGTAGTCAATTAGTGATACAAGGTTCTGGAACTGGTTTAGGTGGACTCGGTTTATGTGAAGTAAAGGCCGTAGGAAAAGACTGGTTGTGTAAGTATTTATTGCAGCTGTTGTTTGAAAAATAAATAGGTTATCACAATGTCTGAGAGATGATAAAACAACACGGGCCCCATTTCCTAGCAATCGAATATTTTTGCACACTGTTGGTGCGTGATTTGAAATGTTTAGTTTTAATTTCGTTTGTATCATCTTGTCCAAACCATACCCACATTCGTCATACTTCCTCGTCGAAACCCATATACGGGATACGTTTGTATCTACTGCACGCCATTCTACTTGTTCATCAGACATCATGTTAATTATGAAGTTTAATTAAACAGTTTGAGCTCCCATATTCTTTTAAGATGAATGTGGAGATCCACCATTTGTTTATGGAGCTGAAGTAACTAGTGACTATATATCACAAGGTCTAGTGGTCGTTCAGTATTCTTGTGTTAAAGGATTTTATTATGGTGGAAAGAATCCAGAGTCTACTTGTCGTAGTGGACAGTGGAGTAAAGTCGATTTACTCTGTCTTCGTGAGTATTTCTATGTTTAATTTCAGAAGCTTGGGTGCCTTCTTTTCATTGTCTTACATGATGAACAGTTTAAAGGTCATGTTAATTCAATTCTCGAACTATTCTTTAATTCTTTAGACTATGTTGCACATTATTTTGATTATTTTTTCACTTCCTGAAAATACGTTATTCCATATTATCGACGTCACTGCATTTTCCTTCAAATTTAATAGTTCTATTTCGATTTAATAATTCTAACAGAAAAATGCTCAATTTTTGCTCATTAGTCGATTGATATATTATATCAGCCCGTTGAACCGTCAAATGATCTATTTCAAATCATCTCAACAATACCTTTGTGACTGTTTCTATTTCAGCATACGATTCTCTTTATAACCCAAAACTGAAACAGTTTGTGCCAGATCATTGGGTTCTATTTGATGATGATCAGAATACTTGTATCGAAGCTGATGGTGGTGTAATTACACACCCAACAATACAGTACAGAGTGTTAGCTTACAATCTCTACTCCGTTAAACCTGTAGAACTGTTAAGTTTGACTGTAACTATCGGATGTGAGTATTAGTCATTTATAATAAGACGTTAATTTAGGTACTCAGATAAACCAAACATTAACTTAAGTTTCCTTCTTTGTTTTATGATGTTGAATATTTTTCATGCTTGTACAATGATTGACTTTTACAGTAAACGAGACGTGGGACGATATAGATTTTGTTGGTGTTCCTGTACCTCTCCCGGATTATAAAGAATATGATGCTCCACCATGCGAGTATGATGGTTTGAGTACAGATCTATATCGAGTGAGAACCTTCTCCTGCCAACCCTACACCTACTCAAAGATCTTGAACGTTATAATTAGAGATGTTTCATCGAATTTCAAAGAATTTTGCAAGATAAAATCTACTATAAGATTTAACACAGTTCGTAAGTATACCTTGATTAAAATTAAATATCCCAGTGTATGTATCGCCTTTATGTTATTTTGGATTTCGATTTTCGTTTTGCGGTTAGGATCGTTAGTACTCAAGGTTTTTTTTCCAAACAAGCTTCTAAAATCCATATTGAGAGACCAGGTTCCGACAAAATTTAGCCTTTTTGAACAGCCTTAAGTTGCCCAGGTAGTGTCACTTTAATACAATAGTTTTCTGATCCATTCTAAGGTGTTAAGAAAGTTGGTGTTTTTTAAATTGTTCTATACATTTTCTACCAGTTATTTTCTATTTTAGCTTTAGAGTGTATACGGGGAGAGTATATCAATGAATATAAAGGGAAGATGAACTATACATGGGATGGGAAAGTCTGTGACAACTGGGCTGATGCTCCACCAGATAAAGCCATCAATACCACCGTCCATAAAACATTTGATCCGGACTCTGAGTTGAACTATTGTAGAAATATTGGGGGAGAAAAGAGGAGACCCTGGTGTTGGGTTGATAATTACCAATCTGTAGGATATTGTCCTCTGACTTTTTGTAGTAAGGATCAAGACTTGTTCTTTTGAGGTCTTTTGATTGCCGTTTTTTTTTGTTCTTGTATTATCGGGCTCCCGGTGGCTCAGTGAGTTAGCCGCTTGCTCGCTGACCTGAAGGTCCAGGGTTCAATCCCGGCATAGGTCGAGATAATACCTTCGGATTTTTCAACCCGGTTTCCCCCTGTCAGTGATACAGGTAAGAGGGACTGACATGGAAAAAACGTCTAGTCGTTCGGATGGGACAATAAACCGAGGCCCCGTGTGCTACAGGCTGTGCACGTTAAAGATCCCTCGACAGTTGGAAATCGAAAAAGAGCAGGCAAAATTTCCCTCATTGCACCCTGCATGGCGTTGCCCGTCTTCATTAGCCCACATGGTGCAGAAAAGTATGACGTAAAACTCCATTCATTTCATTTGTGCTTGTATTGTCAGTAACTTGAAAGGGTGTACAAGAGTTCAGATGGAAAGAGAGACAGCTTCAGACCTAGTCCTTTAAGATCCCTCGCCTGTTGGAAAAAGATGAATTCTTGTCATTAATTTCAATACACCCAAGGCTTCCATTCCGTTACATTCCAGATGAGATTTGTCATTTAAAAGAAGAATATACCGAGTATCAAGGGCAGCAATCCATCTCAACTTCTGGTAAAAACTGTCGATATTGGAGTGATGGAAATGAGGAAGGACGAACGTTCTTGAATGAAGTTTTTTCTGGTGTACAAACTAGATCTTACTGTAGAAATCCGGGATATTCTCAGTTCAAAGCATGGTGTTATGTTAATGGTCCAGAATCTACGATTGTAGCTGAACCATGTGATGTTCCCGAATGTCGTGAGTCTCCGGCTTCTTTGCCATTTTTGGCAAGCTATTTTCAGCATCATTTGCCCGTTTTCTTTGCACAGCTTGTTATCTGTTTGTGTCGCTGCTCTTTTTGAAATGAAATTCATACTATTCCCTAATAAATATCGCACTTCTTTCTTTTATCTGAAAACTGTGGTTCTTGTTTATCCAATGGTCGTGATCCCACCCAATCAGATGAAGGCATTCTGAATTATAAGAACCACTGACTGAAATAGGAAAGATTGAAATAGAAGCTATAAGTATTCCCGACACATACGCATACAGATATTTAAATGTTATTCCAGCAATTGGTTTTCCTCGGCTGACCGTCAGAAATAATGAAACTAGTAATTTTCCTCTTCACCTTGACCAATGTTACCAACCACTCAACTCTTTCAACGTCCATCATTATTTTGACCTGACGATAGACGAAACCAGTGTCAATAACTTCTGTAGAAATTTTCAAGATAATTCGTTGTTTTGTTTTAATGGTGTGGATTGGACGATGATAGAATTTGAATGCTGTAAGTTTTGATTCGTTCCTCACTACAATTTGCTACAATTTGTTGATATTGGATCATTTATAACAAGCACACTCTGGTCGTTTGTATACAATTCTACTGAGTTTACATGATGTACAAAGATGCAGCTCCCTTTACCGTTTAGTTTTCGTATTTCAGTTGACGTGCCACCAGAGACAACGACTATAGCAGAAACTTCTTCTTATGGTCCAGAAACAACATTTCTGATGGAAGAAACCTCAACAAACTTTGTAGAAGAAATTGAAACATTTTCTCAATTTGAGATTTCGTCAACAATTGTAGAGAGCTCGTCAGTAGAGGCAAGTCAATCGATATCAGCTAGTTCAAGCCAATTGTTTGAGGCAAGTTCTTCGTTACAGATCAGCTCCTTATTACAGACCACTTCTTCATTGGATGATAGTTCAGTACCAACAAGTACCCTAGTAGAAGCAAATTCCTCCTTTGTTTCCGAAAGCTTAGCGAATGCCACAGAAGAAACAACTCGTTCACTACTTCCGTCATTCATCTTATCAACAATGGATACGGCATCGGTAACATCAGATCTCCCGGAAACAGCTAGCATTGACGCCTCTTCAAACACACATGATACGTTGTATACGGATCAAACTGTGACACCAACCGTCAGCTCATCCCTCTGGTCTGCTAGTATCACCAACAACACGGGTCGTAACATGACATGTGGATACTTCTGTATCAGAGATGATCTACTCAACACTAGCGATCCGTTTGTTAGAGCACGAATTGAGTTTTTGACCAAGAGTCTGGAAATGGACTACGAAAAGCTCTCAGCGTCTATCAGGAAACGCATCAGTGCTGAGGACGACAGACCATCTGCGACTTACGTAGGGTCGTCAGCTTTGACCATGATGGTAATTTTTCTTGCCTTGATCGTTTTCCCTGATGTGATAGATTTGTTTCGGTTTCTACATGATCGAATATTATTGAGAAAAATGAAAGTAGTAAAGATTGACGATACGGAGAAAATTACGTCCCAGTGACTGACGAGGCCTTACTTGAACTTACTCCATGTATGTGACTTTTTGTAGAAAATACAGGCTTATTCCATATAGGTTTAGCAATAGTTCAATAATCAATTATATACGTTTAACGTTACTTGTTTAAAAAAATTAGATTAAAAGAGTTTTACGTCCTACTTTTCTGCACCATGTGGGCTAATGAAGACGGATTTTTATATTGATTTCTTATGTGTGCTAGGGTTACTGACTATAACTGATGTATGTGAGGATTTTAAAGTTCTAAAGAACGCGGTTGCCTTTCAATTCTTTGTAATACGTTTCAATGTTACTATGTCACTTACCATCTTCATATAGAGTTTTATTATTATTATTATTATTATTATTATTATTATTATTATTATTATTGCATACGGAGATTCACTCGCAATAATGTAGACTATGTAACCTTATAAAAAATAGCAGCCTGTCTAAAGAGGATGTAGTAAATTGTACTAATGGAGGATAGAGTGGCCCATTGTTTAGATTACCACGACAGTTCAGCAAAATTAAACATGAACAATAACTAAATCAACTACTTATGGTTTATTATTTTACTTAATGCATCCGTCAAGATTTTAATATACGACCATTTTAATCTTGGTGAAACTCTTCGTTTCTGATTGCCAATTGTCAAAAAGACGATTTGAGTTTTTTGTACATTATAAATTTAAAAAAATGAAAACCTGCGCGTCTGCAAGATCTTGGGTTTTTATTTGTGTAGAGCATTTTGAATAAAAGTCGTGTTTTTCCGATGCAATTCACAAACGCTTTCTCTGCAGTCCGCGTAGAAGTTAAGATAAATTTGATATCTGATAGAGGATACGAGTCATCAAATGATATAACGACTTGAAGATTTTATGTTTTATTAGCTCTCTTGTTTATATAATGACACTTATATCTTACAGACTATAGACAGGTGGGTGGTCAAAACAAATAACTTTTGATTTAGAATGATTAAAATTGCAGGCGTTTTTATCAAGAGTTTAAGCATTATAACAAAAAAATGCTTACTCCGAGGTCCGCGTTGAAATTTTTCATCATATCGAAACTGGAATTTGATTTTTAATAATGTGTGTCCAGATAACAAAATAAATCTGTTGTAGGAAATAAATTTTTTATTTGAAAACGCCCTCATCCAAATTCCATCCATCTAACTCGTGGCTTTTATATGTTAATCTGCATCCACTCCGGACGGCCCCTTGAGATATGGGGAATGGTGAATGATACTTCAGGTTGTTTCTTTAAGAGAATTTAAATAGTTATCAAGCAGATGCCCGAAAAAACAAACCGATAGAGTCGCTTTTAAATCCTTATGACAGAATATTTTACGAATTGTTTTCAGATTGGGGTCTTATTGTTAAACTCAATGTTTTTATGTTGTGACCTTTTATTATTAACCGTGACTTAAGTTATTTATGTAATGTGTAATCTTAATCGTACTTAAGACAATCGAGTCTCTGAAAATACAAGAGAAATACCTGTACAATGAATGAAGGAATGGTATCGGACGTAATGGTTTTTCCAGTGTGGTAAATCACGAAGAGAAATGAAATTGTAGCTAAACTTGTAGCTGTCGTGGTAGTCCTACAGGTTTCCTTATGTACAGGTACGTAGTCTACGTTTCATTGTGTTATTGCACAGAATGCTTTCAGGATGTCCCAGACCACAAACTTGGGCGTACTGAGCAGCCCTGGGTCTTTCATCCGACTGCTCAGTTCACTCAAGTTGGGGTCTGTGTATTGTGCGCACTATGTATAATTTCAGTTGATTGTTATCTTGGTATTTACCATTTTCTCCTCTTTGATATATTTTATTATCTTATGCCATGTTTTTTACATTTCGTACAGTTTGAGGAACTTCTACGACAGTGGCCAATACTATTCAATTCATTAGATGGATTTCAGTGCTCTCTCATAGGTCCGCGTCGAGAGTTTATTTTCTCCCCTAAACTCGCAATTTCAATAAGCTATTTAGAAATACATAGCTTTATATGCCTGTAGTATTATTTAAATTCTTAACTAATTTTTTATGTGCTCATATTTAAGTTCAAAAAATATTATATGTTTCTAAAGTTCTGTTAAAAAAAGATGTTAGATGTGCCTTTTTAAAAAATCAGACCTTTTTTACTCTGATTAAAGCCTAATATTACCCATTGGGTATTGTTCCTTTATAAATACAAACTGCAGCCGTAACAATAGATTGATTTCAGTAGTTTAAACAAAAGCTTTTATGAAACGAATCGATAGTTGATTTGTGTTAAGTGTTTCTTAGACATAAAAGATATTAATTTCTGAAAAATAATGAAGTTGATGCGTATTTCAGACGTAAAAAAGATTGTATATTCGTTCACAAAATTAAAAGAACAAATAGCTTTTGTCTTTAAGAGAGAGTCGTTATCATCATCGTCGTGGTCGTCGTGGTCGTCGTCTATATCAACAGCACCAACCGACAAAACCCAGCAGACTTTCCAGAAATTATCTCAAAAAGTGCTGTGTTAAAAATTACAAAGATCATGTCATAATTTGTTTTCTTTTTTTTTACTAAATCGGGTCTTTTTGCTGTATCTTTTAGATCAAAAGGCATATTTTAAGTCACTTAAAACTAAAATAAAAGTCATTTATTTATTTTATTTTCTTCCGCAATCAAAAATAAATTGACAATATAAAATGGTTTTAAAGTAGCAATTAAACCGTTAAGTCGTCTGTCAAACAAAACTCGAACACTTCAGACACACAACTATTTGTCCTTAGTCTAAGCAACGAATGTAAATATTGCATCAAAATACATTCGCGTCGTATCCCAGAGATCTTGTCAATAAAGTGCGAACAAAAGAGATGGCAACCGATTTTAATTGGAAAAAACCGAAATAAATCAACAATATTGTTGGTTGAAAGGGTTCTCGTGTTGTCAAACCTATTCGCAGCGTGGCACCAGCTGTTCTGAAAGAGGAATCATGTCCTGCCTCGCTAGAAACACCACAGTATCAAACCAAATCGTTATCCCGTTTGATTTAGATAACTTGAAATGATGAGTTTTATTCTGTGGATATAGACTGATTAGCCTCCGATTTCTGTTTAAATATATAATTTAATTGCTCGACCTTATAAAATACTTAATAAAAATCCGGATATTGATAAAAGTCCCATAAAAGAGAATGTTTAAATAAACTGTTATGGTCTATTTCCATTTCGGAAACAAAAGAACAATTAAAGATGGTTTCCTTGCATCTTATTCTGCATATAGGTATTAGTATTTTCATTTTCAGAAATGAAAATAAGGGAACCCATCTTTAACAGAAAAATAAGAAATACATAATAAGCTTGGCATTTCCTCAAACGCGAAGAAATCTTCTGTTGAAGTAAACTGAATTGTAAAGTTTTGATATCTAGCCTGAAGGAAGGGATATTTTGAACAATAGACTGTAGAAGAAATAATTAGCTGTACAATTAAAACCTAGAATGTTTTGTATTTTGACATTTCCTTTGTGTTATCTTGTTGTTTGTATTTTGTATTACCTTGTAGAACAAACAAACAATACTTATGTGTCAGTTATATTATATATTCTGATCGAAAAGACAATCAGTTTTTATTTCTTCAATGGAATATTGCTCTAATGTTTTTCAAATGTTTATACGTATTATGATATAGCCCATTATTGCATGTCAATTTTCATTGTAATATATTTAAATCTAGCTTTATCGTCATGGCAACAGTAATGTTGTCTTTTGTTAATAATTTTCGATCAACAATCTATCAACAAAACTATTGTTTACTTTCTCTCCATTACATAAAGCTGTATCACTGTTACACATAATATCACACTGTGAATTATAAATGATATCTGATCTTATGTTCAGTTTTTCCAGGTTTAACAATAAATACAGTTTCTCGTTATCGAAGTGCCATCCATTCCCTAAGGAATCAATTGATTATACAGCATTTGATTCAGTTGTGTATCTTACGTGTCATTGCGTCCATTGTTCCGGACTTCAAGTGTAAAAATAAAGAATGAAATTTTAAAACTATTTCACATTGTTTAGTCCCGTAGCCAGACTTGTTTGTTCAGAGGCAACAGAGCGTGGGACATCTTCGAGACTGACTTTGATCAAAGAAATTTACACAATGATAGATTGCAATTAACATGAAAAATTAAAAAATTAAACGACTTTGTTTGCCATGTATCAGTTGAAATATTTATCATTTGTATTACAGGATGTACCGAGCCTCAACCTGTTCTGCATGCCTACAGATATACTGACAATACCAGCCTGTCAGAGGGTAGCTGGGTCAAATACACCTGTTATCATAATTACTATTGGATAAGTGGAGATCTCAATAGAGAATGTCAGGCTGGTGCATGGACTGGTCAACCTCCTATCTGTGGTGGTGAGTGTCCTATATGATATTCTTTCAGGCGCTCTCATACTATTGCGATTACCATATGCGTATGCTTGCATTGTGTGAGTTGCGTTTACTTATTCGCAATCATACGCATCTGGTTATCGCTAGACGCAGAGACTCTTTCCCGAAAAACTTGCTTTCGGGGCTGCGATGGGGTGACTGCTCCATCTGCTCTCCTCCCTACCTCCTTTATGACCTAAACTTGCGTATACGACACTATTACCAATGAATAAAAGGCAGCACCACTTTTTGTGTTTTTCCATCACCTATATTCGGTTCTATTAACTTCTGATAAGCTTGCAGTACCCAAATCACTAGACTATGAACATGAAAACATGTTTTATAGCAATAGTAACTTTTATTACTGGGTTGAGACAGAAGAACGGATCGTTACATTGAGCAATATGAAGCTATTTAGTAGTGAAACATTTAAAAATAGGTATAAGAGTTGGTAGCTTACGAACAATTCTTATTGTTACATCTTTTGCGAAACGGTGCCTTAGCTCTTGCGTCCAAAGTCTTCTGTGTTTTTTATTATTATTTTATTGTGCATGGAACGATGCAAGGGAAATAACTACAGTTTCTGATCACAGTATGATATGTTATTATATTTACATGCCTGTTTGCTTGTCGTATTTAAGCGTATGATGAAAGGTCATAAGACATCATTTTGAAACAGGTTGGTTAATGATAGGAAGGTTCAGAGATGGACAAGCTAAAAAAAACTCACTCGTACAAGGGTTGGTTGATCTATCTCGTAAAGCACGGACATCACGAAATCATAGCATGATAATTAATGCTACCGTGGATTCTCAGGAAGAAGTTCCTTGACTGCTTAATAATGTTTACTATGGACTTAAATTAATATACGTTGTCTAATTCTTGTCTTTGAAATAATCCATTGTAGGTTATATATATTTGTTACGTGATGAAATAACCGTGACTATTCAACTGTGTTTAATTTTGATTATATACTTCTGAGATTTGAATAATATCTAACTTTTAACTATATAGCTATATTTTGATAAGTATAATATGTTGTATCAACACACTTTGTTTCTAACTCTGGCAATTTGTAACGTATGTTGATTTATCACTGGCGTACTGTAGTTCCAGACAGCTCATCGTCTTGGTGAATTACAATACAAGGTCGTGGATTCATTGAGCTAAAACGATTCTATTTACCCCTGTCATTCCGTTCCACAAAGACTGGAGTTACTCATAAATAACGAGAACTCGAATCCCTGGTTGATTAAGGAAGATATTCCAAAAAAAAAACAAGTAAAACTTTTGTTAAATCGATGTCTGTGTGTGTACACATGGAACTGAAATCGATCAAATTATAATGTCGCAGTGTCTGTGAGATTTGTCATCAGTTTTTCTATATCTACATAAAGATGGGTTTCCTTATTTTTTAGTGTCAAATTAAGCAAACTATTTGATTAATTGATGTTTCTAATGAATTATAGTGTATTCTTAATCATACCGTTATGTTCTTATTGCATATAATAGAGAATTTTAACCAATCATTAATGTCCGTGTATGTACAGTCTGAATAAACAAAAAAGACTTTTTGACCTTTCTTGATCGGCCACTCATTTGAATTTTGCTGGTAATTCTCTTCTGATTTAGCTAATTATAAAATAGGACATGTGAGACAAACTGGTATTTTTCCAAGTCATTAGAACATCTCTACTTTCGGTTCACATAAGTATTAACATTTTCATTTTCATAAATGAAAATAAGGGAACCCATCTTTAATATAATTTTTTGTTTTCAAAAATTCGAAAATTAGATTTTGTTGTTAAAAACTCAATCAATATGATCATGCAACCAATACTTTTTAGTTTTATGACAAATCCTACAAGATTGTGCTAACCCCGGGGCAGGTTTACATTAAAGCTTCGATTGAAATTTTTTACAAATAAATCAAATGCCATTACATTAAAGAAAGCTACGCAGGATGCCATTTTAGTAGTGGTGGGTGTCGCGCACGAAGCAGGTGATGCTTACTCTTTTCGAAACACCTGGTGGTACTTCTCTTTGTTTACTCCTACTTTTTCCATACTTTGGACGCGACTTTGACGGAATTGTCTTGCTTGTAAGGATTTTAATTAAAATTTGTACCAGACTGTGGTCTGATCGTCTCCTTATCGAAGTTATCGTCAAAACAAAATGTACAGCAATGTAGAATAGCTGTGTTTCAGTGACTCATCTATAAAAGTGGGGAGCCGTGAACTTTAGTGGGTTGGAGACCTTCCCCCGGGAGTTTATGTTTAAAACATATGCTATCCTGGGGCCCATTTAGAGGTGGAGGCTTTAACCAGTCCCTATGGTAATTGTGTATCTTCTGTAACGTCTGTCCGGTCTCTAAGGTAATATAAAATAAACAAGATGACCAGAACGTACCTTCTAATCATATTGCTCTTACAGCATTAGAACTGAACATAAGACATCCGAAGGTCACAAACAATTGGCAATTCGCAAGTTGTCTGGGCTCTGTTTTGAAATACCGCTGTTAATCCCTTTAATCAAAACAAAACAATGTTAAGTCCTTTATAAATACGGTATGTTGAGATTTATGTTGTAACAAGAAGGTAGTTACGTCTACCACTTCAAGATGTATAACTAACTCTGCGGGCTGTCCTGTTAGAGTCTCCTCATTTCAGTTGTTATAGTTTACTAGGATGTTATCTTTTAAACACTCTCGATAATCAAGATAAACTTTAAATTCTGGACTGTTTTTCTCGTAGTTTTTATATTATTTGTATTTTGTCAATATATTGAGTGATTGCATTTTATTCATTTATTCGTTTATTCATTTATTCATAAGATGAAAAATATAAAGTGGCTTGCCATAGTTTTTGTGGTATATTGTTTTATTTCGTCTGTGGAGTCTAGTTTAGGTAAGATTATAAATATTATTCTTATACCATTCATAAATATTATGTAGAAAACATTGTAAGTCCATTTTAAGATCCATTTTAGTTCTATACGAAATTTGTACTCCTATCAGATCTGAAATAGTCTAAGATTTGATGATATATGCAGAAGTGACTTAGTAATTGCCAAAATCCGAATGAAAGATCAAGTTTTGTATATAAATTCAAAGTTAACGAACGTTTTACATAATTATATACGTTCAATCCCAACAGTTGTTTTCATCATCGTTTTGTCTTGCCAAATTATCAATCTACACAATATCTTATTTGTGTTTCGGTTTTGCTCATTACACTGCTTGGATGTTGAAAGGGTAATCATTCTGCTCAGATAAAATACTTGATTTTCTTTATATTAGTAAAAAACCAGTCCTTACTGCCATACTATCAAATATAATTAATGAGGATTAGTTTGTCGGCACTGTCGTATCATTAATATTACTTTAAAGCTTTAGCATAACTCTCTACCTAGCTTTTCCATGAATAACTGACCATGACTAACTGACCATGACTAACTAGTCAATTATTACAGAATGTACCGAGCCTCAACCTGTTCTACATGCCTACAGATATACTGACAATATCAGCCTGCCAGAGGGTAGCTGGGTCAATTACACCTGTTATCATAATTACCATTGGATAAGTGGAGATCTCAATAGAGAATGTCAGGCTGGTGCTTGGACTGGTCAACCTCCTGTTTGTGATGGTGAGTTAATAGTCTACAATTAATCCCTGAAATGTTTATTTAAAATGAATTGGAGATAAGTTTAATTTAAGATCAAGAATTTTAAGTTGTAAACAAACGAAGTGAACGTTATGTATGACATTTTAATTATTCTAGTTTACAAAATATTGTCTCCAGCTCGTTCAGCTATTCCTAAACCAAGTAGCTTGGGTGGTAATGGTAACTCTCTTACTGATGGTGATGAACGGACTTGTGAAAGTACCACCGCCTCGACAGAACCGAGTTGGACCATTGAATTTAATGGCACTAAATATGTGTATTCTGTTACGTTAACTTCAGACAGCAGTAAGTTTATTACTTCTTAACTTCTACTCTGTTTTTATTAAGATTAGTCATTTATGTATCTACGTGTATTTTAAAACAGCTATTCTAATTTTTGAATGATTTTTTATGTTGGCTTTTATAAAGAAAAATATAGATAAATATTATTTTATAGATATCTTTATAAACCGAATTGGAGTTGATGTTCGAAACAGAACACAGCATCACGAGATTCTGTGTCGTACTTTATACTCATCAATTCCATTGACCGATATTGTTGAAGTTATTTGTCCACCTAACACTATTGGTAGTCAATTAGTGATAGGTTCTAGAACTGGTCTATATGGTAGACTCGGTTTATGTGAAGTAAAGACCTTAGGAAAAGACTGGTTGTGTAAGTTTTGATGAAACTTTAAACACTTTTGTAATGTGAAGAGTTTTTTGATTTATCGATGAAGGTTTACTTGTTGTTGCTTGAAAAGGAAAATGCAACATTTTGAGCAGTTTTTGTTTAAACTTTAATCATATTGGTTTCAGTCCAACTTCCTATAAAAAGCCTGTTGTGGCATATTCCATATCCTTTTCTTTGTGGGGTGGGAGGGGGGGAGGGGGAGTCCCTCACCATGACTGTCAATATTAGTAATTAATTTGTAGGGAGTTGATATTGTCAGGCTATTTTTGTCGTACCCGTTGTATTTACACGGCTGCAAATAGCTTGTGTCTTTGTGTGTTCTTTCGTTTGTATCTCGTTGATATTTCAGATGAATGTGGAGATCCGCCGTTTGTTTATGGAGCTGAAGTAACTAGTGACTATATATCACAAGGTCTAGTGGTCGTTCGGTATTCTTGTGTTAAAGGATTTTATTATGGTGGAAAGAATCCAGAGTCTACTTGTCGTAGTGGACAGTGGAGTAAAGTCGATTTACTCTGTCTTCGTGAGTATTTCTATGTTTATCAATGGACTACATGGACTAAAACTGATGTATTGTATCGCTGGAAGTATGTTTCCATTATTTTCATTAAGAGGTTTATTACAATTGGAATTGATTTTGTTGAAGATGAAAATCCACATATTATTTCATAACTAATATATAACATTATATTATTTTCTCTACTTCTTTTTGCCACTACGTTTTTTTTCTTTTGTATTTCGGGCTTCTTTTTGTTTTACGTTGTTCCTATAAATATCATTATTGTTATCACGGGAAGAAGACTGACATCATCCATCATTATTATTTGAAAAAGAAAATTACAATTTGAGCTATAAAACTATTATATCACGTGTCAGTCAATTCAACAATGCATTACTGACGTTTTTATTTCAGCATACGACTCTCTGTACAACCCTAAACTGAGAGAATTTAATCAAGTTCACTCTGTTCTACACGATGGTGATCAGAATACCTGTATCGAAATTAATGAGGCGGTTACTGAAGACTCGCCAATACTCTACAGAATATTACAACTTCACCTGTACTCGAAGAAACCTGTAGAACTATTAAATGTTACTGTAACTATTGGAGGTATATATTGGCCTATACTAAGACTACCCTTACTTCCTTGGGTGGGGTTATTATCTTTCACTCGAAGCTCGTGTTCTTCTCCATCTGTCAACACAAATATCCAAAAGTATAAAATGATAATAAATCACTAAATAATATTGAATAAGTTTTGGCGAACCACTGTCATGCATCTTGATTAAATTCCACAATCGAATCCAAGACATTTTGTAGATTTAGTGGTTACGAATTATTGCTGCAAAGTCCTTTATTACGATACTTCTGAAAATTGTTTACAGTAAACGAGACGTGGGACGATATAGATTTTGTTGGTGTTCCTGTACCTCTCCCGGATTATAAAGAATATGATGCTCCACCATGCGAGTATGATGGTTTGAGTACAGATCTATATCGAGTGAGAACCTTCTCCTGCCAACCCTACACCTACTCAAAGATCTTGAACGTTATAATTAGAGATGTTTCATCGAATTTCAAAGAATTTTGTGAGATTAAAACAACAATAAGATCAGACACTACTCGTAAGTATACCATAGCAACAAACTTAAAGTAAGGAAAGGTTCTTTTAAACCAATATCAAACATCCATGTTGGTACACAAGCATGAGATCAGTGCAGGTGAATTCTCTTTCAATACGACAATGTTCTGAAAACTACACTTTACTTGTGTCAAATCACAGAGCAGCATCCTTATTCGGCTTTTTTTTACTTCAAGTCAGACACAAAGTTGGGACAGAGTTATACATTTTGTGCTGTCATGGTCCCCCGAACCACAGGCAGTTACCTTGTGGAGATGTCTCGCGTCTTAACATACATTCAGTTAGCCAGTTTACTCAGTTGATCTCCAGAGTAGCAGAACTAGTTTAATACAAAATTGGCCTAACTGTCTCGAGAGCATTATGTCAAAAGGCTCACGAGAGCAATCAATTTCCTGTAAAACCTATAAGAGACAGGTACAACACTGTGTGACTGCCTTTGACAGCTCTTCTATTTCAGCTTTAGAGTGTATACGAGGAGAGTATATCAATGAATATAAAGGGAAGATGAACTATACATGGGATGGGAAAGTCTGTGACAACTGGGCTGATGCTCCACCAGATAAAGCCATCAATACCACCGTCCATAAAACATTTGATCCGAACTATTGTAGAAATATTGGGGGAGAAAAGAGAAGACCCTGGTGTTGGGTTGATAATTACCAATCTGTAGGATATTGTCCTCTAGCTTTCTGTAGTAAGTGTCCATTTTGTTTACGTCTTCTGATCAGAGATGCCCAACCATGGAGGTGGTATGGTTTGACACTGAAGATGCATCATATTTCAAATAAACTTTCCACGATTAAGATCTCAAGAACTTTTCTAAGGATCGAGTCAAGGCCAGTCGGAACAATCAATACAGTCAAGGGTGAAATCTTCAGAACGGTGGGTTTTTTGATGATTAACAAAAAAACTCATATTTCATTCCAGATGAAATATGTCATTTAAAAGAAGAATATACCGAGTATCAAGGGCAGCAATCCATCTCAACTTCTGGTAAAAACTGTCGATATTGGAGTGATGGAAATGAGGAAGGACGAACGTTCTTGAATGAAGTTTTTTCTGATGTACAAACTAGATCTTACTGTAGAAATCCGGGATATTCTCAGTTCAAAGCCTGGTGTTATGTTAATGGTCCAGCGTCTTCGATTGAAGCTGAACCATGTGATGTTCCCGAATGCCGTGAGTCTCCAGCATTATTTGCCGGTTTTCTTTGCACAGCTTTGCCTTTCATATGTTATCTTTTTGTGTAGTTTTGAATTCTGAAATCCATACTATTGCTTTATATTTCCAACCAGTACGAGTCTCTAAACATGTTGATGTTAAAGTTCAATGCAACAGAATCTTTTCAATCCCTATATTCCTTCTATTACGATATCAATTTGAGCTCCTTCAAACCCATTTGTCTGTAGCATCTCTAGCTACTCTGATAGATGCTACTCTGATACTCTGGCTACTCTGATAGATGCTACTCTGGTAGATGCTTCTCTGGTAGATGCTACTCTGGTAGATGCTACTCTGGTAGATGCTACTCTGATACTCTGGTTACTCTGATAGATGCTACTCTGATAGATGCTACTCTGATAGATGCTACTCTGGTAGATGCTCTGATACTCTGGCTACTGAGATATAAGTCTTGGTGTCTGTCTGTTTCAGCAACTGATTTTCTGCAGCTGACCGTCAGAAATAATGAAACTAGTAATTTTCCTCTTCACCTTGACCAATGTTACCAACCACTCAACTCTTTCAATGTCCATCATTATTTTGATCTGACGATAGACCAAAACAGTGTCAATAACTTCTGTAGAAATTCTCAAGATAGTTGGTTGTTTTGTTTTAATGGTGTGGATTGGATAAGGATAGAATTTGAATGCTGTAAGTTTGCTCTTATGTTTTTGCTACCTGATTTTGTTTGCATCGCATTAGCGGATATAGGCGTTCAAATGGGAACAATGCCTTAGCTATATACACGTGCCCTGTTTACAGACCCTTCTCTGTTGGAAATCGAAACCCATTATGAATTTCGTGAATCTTGTTCTTAACGTTTTTGAAATTAGACAATTGTTATTTATGGTTTATTTTGTAGTTGATACCACCAGTATGATGGCGACTACATCAATGGTACCGTCATCAACAGATTCCTGCTCGCAGACATCATCAATAGAAACGTCATCGGCAGTTAGCTCCACAATACAGTCAAGTTTCTTACTGGATCTCCAAAGTTCTTCGATTGACGCCAGTACTTCCGAGGTCCTATCTGTTATTACGACCAGTAAGAATCGGGAAGATAGCCTTTCATCAACTGAAACTTCATTTACAGACCTATATACCACGTTACAAGCTACTGAGTCGTTAAGTCCGCCCTTCAGTCTATTGACAGTAGACTACTGTCGCTACAAGAGCTCTACCATCAACAACTGACGGGTATATACCGTCTGGATATTCTGACACGTCCCTGGTAGCCTCGAATACCGCGACACAAACTTTAAAACCCAGCAGCTCATCCTCCTGGTATGAAAGTACCAACAACGACTCGAGCAGTAGCGTAACGTGTGGCTGTTTCTGTATCAGGAATGATCTACTGAACACTAGCGATCCGGTTGTTAGAGCCCGAATTGGGTCTTTGACCAGGAGTCTGGAATTGGACCACGAAAAGCTCTCAGCGACTATCAGGAAACGCATCAGTGCCAAGGACAACAGACCATCTGCCACGTACGTAGGTTCAACCGCTGTTCTCCTCTTGTTAATATGTCCGGCATTGATCGTTTTTTCTGACGCACTGAATTTATTTCGGTATCTGCATGATCGTAAAAAACATAAAATGTGAATCTCATTTACATTGTTACTTTCAAGGCCGAATAATCTCGAAACGATCTTAGCGCTAGGACATCTTAGTGTCTTAACTTCTAACACTGTTTCTAGGATATCCTAGGGTCTTAACTTCTAACATTGTTTCTAGGATATCTTAGGGTCTTAACTTCTAACACTGTTTCTAGGATATCCTAGAGTCTTAATTTCTAACACTGTTTCTAGGACGTCCTAGAGTCTTAACTTCTAACACTGTTTCTATGATATCCCAGGGTCTTAACTTCTAACACAGTTTCTAGGATATCCCAGGGTCTTAACTTCTAGCACTGCTTCTAGAATATCCTAGGGTCTTAACCTCTTACACTGTTTCTAGGATATCCTAGAGCCTCAACTTCTAACACTGTTTCTAGGATATCCTAGGGTCTTAACTTCTAACACTGTTTCTAGGATATCCTAGAGTCTCAACTTCTAACACTGTTTCTAGGATATCCTAAGGTCTTAATTTCTAACACTGTTTCTAGGATATCCTAGGGTCTTAACTTCTAACACTGTTTCTAGGATATCTTAGTGTCTTAACTTCTGACACTGTTTCTAGGATATCCTAGGGTGTTAACTTCTAACATTGTTTCTAGGATATCCTAGGGTGTTAACTTCTATCACTGTTTCTAGGATATCCTAGAGTCTTAACTTCTAACACTGTTTCTAGGATATCCCAGGGTGTTAACTTCTAACACTGTTTCTAGGATATCCTAGTGTCTTAACTTCTAACACTGTTTCTAGGATATCCCAGGGTCTTAACTTCTAACACTGTTTCTAGGATATCCTAGGGTCTTAACTCCTACCACTGTTTCTAGGATATCCTAGGGTCTTAACTTCTAACACTGTTTCTAGGATATCCTAGGGTCTTAACTTCTAACACTGTTTCTAGGATATCCTAGTGTCTTAACTTCTAACACTGTTTCTGGGATATCCTAGGGTGTTAATTTCTAACACTGTTTCTGGGATATCCTAGGGTCTTAACTTCTAACACTGTTTCTAGGATATCTTAGTGTCTTAACTTCTAACACTGTTTCTAGGATATCCTAGAGTCTTAATTTCTAACACTGTTTCTAGGACGTCCTAGAGTCTTAACTTCTAACACTGTTTCTATGATATCCCAGGGTCTTAACTTCTAACACAGTTTCTAGGATATCCCAGGGTCTTAACTTCTAGCACTGCTTCTAGAATATCCTAGGGTCTTAACCTCTTACACTGTTTCTAGGATATCCTAGAGCCTCAACTTCTAACACTGTTTCTAGGATATCCTAGGGTCTTAACTTCTAACACTGTTTCTAGGATATCCTAGAGTCTCAACTTCTAACACTGTTTCTAGGATATCCTAAGGTCTTAATTTCTAACACTGTTTCTAGGATATCCTAGGGTCTTAACTTCTAACACTGTTTCTAGGATATCTTAGTGTCTTAACTTCTGACACTGTTTCTAGGATATCCTAGGGTGTTAACTTCTAACATTGTTTCTAGGATATCCTAGGGTGTTAACTTCTATCACTGTTTCTAGGATATCCTAGAGTCTTAACTTCTAACACTGTTTCTAGGATATCCTAGAGTCTTAACTTCTAACACTGTTTCTAGGATATCCCAGGGTGTTAACTTCTAACACTGTTTCTAGGATATCCTAGTGTCTTAACTTCTAACACTGTTTCTAGGATATCCCAGGGTCTTAACTTCTAACACTGTTTCTAGGATATCCTAGGGTCTTAACTCCTACCACTGTTTCTAGGATATCCTAGGGTCTTAACTTCTAACACTGTTTCTAGGATATCCTAGGGTCTTAACTTCTAACACTGTTTCTAGGATATCCTAGTGTCTTAACTTCTAACACTGTTTCTGGGATATCCTAGGGTGTTAATTTCTAACACTGTTTCTGGGATATCCTAGGGTCTTAACTTCTAACACTGTTTCTAGGACATCTTAGTGTCTTAACTTCTAACACTGTTTCTAGGATATCCTAGGGTCTTAACTTCTAACACTGTTTCTAGGATATCCTAGGGTCTTAACTTCTAACACTGTTTCTAGGATATCCTAGTGTCTTAACTTCTAACACTGTTTCTGGGATATCCTAGGGTGTTAATTTCTAACACTGTTTCTAGGATATCCTAGGGTCTTAACTTCTAACATTGTTTCTAGGATATCCTAGGGTCTTAACTTCTAACATTGTTTCTAGGATATCCTAGG